CTTTGCTTGGCTATAATTTAATTTATCTTTTGTGTTGCGTGCACACACACATACATACATACATGCACACATACATATTTATCAATCGTTGATTCTCCAAAATTTTTTAAATGAGAAAATAAATTTATTGAAATTCAACTTCCATTTTCTGATCACTTAATATAACGTTTTTCTTCTCGATGGTTATAACTATAAACCGTTAATCGATGATTATACATGACCAAATGGTTCGTGGTGACACGAAGCACTTATTCAGGCAATAATTTTAGAAAAAATTTCAAACAATAATGTAAAAGAGTTATACGATAAAAAAAGATTTCAGTCAGAGAGAAAAGAAAATGTGTCAGTTTAAGCTTACATATATCAATTACGATAAAACAGTGTGATTGTGATTTTAATAAAATTTGTCACAAAGAAAGAAGTAAAAAAGATTGCTAAGATTCGATGGTTAAAATAAAATATTATCCGTTTAATAATGATCAAAAATAAAACTGTTCATCATTGTGCATATTATGAATTTCAGCCGGATTAAAAGGAATTTCGATTTACGGATACGGAAATTAAAAACTAACAGAAACAACATCGTTCTCCCTTCTTTTTTTTTTATTAATTACATGTTATATTTCAAAATTTTTAAATGTATTTCATCCAAAAAGTTCTATTTCATAGCTAAAGGCCTATTTACGCATAATTCTAAGTTTGCCTGTAAACAGTATAATGACTATCATTGCTATACACCTATAATGATAATGATAATGATAATGATTGATAGCTGACAATAGCGACAATCATTTCTATAGCATTTTTGAACAATTATACAGTTTGAAATTGAAAAGTCATTTAATGATGCACTGTAGTACGATGACCCAAACAATCGGATAATAGGCTTGAAGGGTTTTGGTGTTGATGATGATGACGGAAGGAGATTGTTACCGATGACAGTCGGATTTTCGAGCAGTTCATGGAGTAAAAGTAGGAAAAGAAATGGAAGAATACCTCAAGGCCAAACCTAATTGCCCGATGACAACCGCCAACTATTCTTAGTTTACCTCAACGAGCACTTAACCAAATCGACTATTCACAGTAATTTTGAATCGTCAGGGACTATGTCTATCTTTAATTTCAAATATTATTTACAATTTTAAGAATTGATTTTAAACATTAATTTATTGGTACAAAACTGACTAATTAGCACTCTCATTTCATTGCAACTTTAACTGTCAGAGTAATTTGAAATGCTTGGCAATTTGAAATGAATAAGCCATTTCGGAGGAACATATAGAAATTTCTACGGTTTTTTCATAATTCTCTTTAATTACTGCATAATTAATTATTTATGTTAAAATTTTCCCTACAAGTTTTTTTATATATCAAAAGTCTTAAAATTTTTCTAAAATATAAAAATAAATTGTGAAAGAAAGAGATATACCAATAAAGTGTGAAAAAATGTGATTTTCAGATTTTCAAATTGTTTATACAAATAGAAATATTGCTATTATTGGTAGTTCGAGAAATTTAGGATAAGTACATTTTCGATCTATTTAGAAAAAAAAAAGAAAAAAATGAGACGATTGGAGGACAAACTGGAAAGAAATTATGCAAAAATTGTTAGGCCTTCTTGAACAGTTTTGAAAAACAAACGATCACACGGAGCCGACGTTGATTTGATACCAACCAAAAGAACCAATCCATTATTCCATCGTTCAATCGATTAATATTAAAAAAAAAAAAAAAAACATTTCTGAGGTCATTTCCTTACAGAAGAAAAGTGATGCTTTTACTTTACATTAATGTGATAACACAACCGTGGCAGAAAATGATAGAATAGTGAAAAGGAAGAAATATTTTGTAAAAAAAAACAAAACAAAACATTTCAATTATTTAGTGAAAATTAACTTTCACAAAAAAAAAAAACATTTCTGAGGCCTTTACATTTGAAGCAACGAACTGTCAATAAAAGAGATGAAAAAAGTAATCAGTATCAGAAAGTAGTACTTTAAATATTGTTTTATCATTTTTAACTTCATTTTCTATTACCATTATAATGATAATTAGATTAGAATACAGTTGGATAATCGAGAATGATCGAATAGATTTCAGTACTGCGAACTCATTCATCAATTTTAATTCTTGTTTATATCATCAATAATTGATTGCTTGCTAACCATTTATGCAAATTCTATTATTATGCAACAATATCATATTTCATTCGGTGAAAAAGAGCATTAAGAGAGATTAACCTGATAGATAATTCATCAAATCATGTGAAATTTCTTGATATCTTAAATGGATGGGTTAGAGATGATCATAGCTGAGAAAAAAATTTCTCCCACTCCCTCTTCCCGATATATTCCGGAAGTGAAATGGAATGGAAGATAAAAAGGAGAGAAATATTTTTAGTGCATTTCTGATTGGTTAAATAATTTTTATCCCTGTTAAATTTCAAACACATCAATGATTTGCATATAACTAAAGTTTCTCTTAACAAATGAGAATTCCCATAATTTATAGCTTTAAATGAATGGTGTCAACCCAATCAACTACAGGAGGGGGTGGACAAAATCTTTGTCATATCATGCTGTGCGAATTTGCTCTTTCGGCAAATATCAACGAATAGCAGAGGAAATTTTATTGAATAATTTGGTTACAGAAATAGTAAAGGTAAAAATACGTCAATTAATATAAAAGGATGAGACAGATAAACGACGTAAATGTTTGCAAAATAAAATAGATGAGCAGAGATGCGAAATATTGGTTTGATCTTTTCTCACACCAATTTTATTACAGATATTGCAAAAGTAATATAACAGTGAAACAACAACATACAATGCATGTGATGAGTAACACTTTGATCTGTCCGACTGCATGTTTCAACTTTTCGATTTCCTCCTCATCAGAATGAAGGAAAGGGAAATTTCCATCAATTATAACAGTTTTGTGAGGAATTTTCCTGATTGATCTTTTGCTAAATTTTCAGCGGATGTCAAAATATAATTGAATAAGACATATTCCATAATCTCAATGCTGATCATCTCATTAGCTATTCTATCACTTTGCGTATGGAATGACATATTTCAGGCCTGAAAGATACCTTCTGGATTTTAAATTATCAAATGCTAGCTGAAGGTCAAAAGTTTCAACATAGCTCATATCAGTGATAGAAATGAAGTTGAGAAAAGAAAGATACAGTATAGTTTGATTTCTTTTTTTTTTTTTTGCCTTCTATGAACAGATAAGAGAAACGAGAGAAACAATTAGACAGATATGATGAACAAATTAAAAATTTAAAAAGAAAAATATTTAAAGATTATTGCAATTGAATTAAGGATTTTGAGTTTGTAAACTATAATGGTTCAGCTTCATTTCGGATATTTTAAATTTCACTAAGATAAGGCACTTTCGATGAAATGAATTTTTAATCTGTCACTGTGTTTTTTATTATTTTCATAAGACGGAGCTTTTCTCTACAAATAATCCATTTGTTGCAAAAATAATTTCCTTTGTCCTCTAAAATAAATCGCTTACAAAGGGAGAGAGGGAGAGAGAGAGAGAGAGGAAGAAAGAAAGAGAGAGAGAAAGTGAGAAAAAGGAATGAATATGGATTAAAAGGTGAGAGAAGTAGAAAAAATAAAAGAGGACATCGAGTATTTGATTTCAGCATTTAAAAAATTTATGCATCACGATAAGCAACAAAAATACCTGGCAAACAGGTTCGTTCATCGATCATTCACACAGTTCACAGCAGGGTGAAACAATCTCATAGATTATTGTAAATGTTCACCAAATTGTTAAGTGGCAATGTAACTTCACAAAGTGGAAAAAAAACTCAAAAATTTCTATCGTATTTCTTTTCATGAGAAATATGCCCATATCAATTGTTTGTTAAAATATGCGCGAGTAGCTTATTCATGTTTTGGACAATTTTCATATAAAATGGTTGTATTATATATAGATTAAAAATAGATAACTTTTTCTCAGAAGAGAAGCATCCTACAGATATGTCGTCTGCTCAAGTTTTAAACTATTAAATGAAGAGTAATACCTAAGAAATAAGGCCTAATAGAAGCGAAAGTTCAATAAGAATTGATAATATTGAAAAATATTGCGATTTTTGTAAACAGTGATTTATATGCTATAGATGTCAACAGCAGTAAGAAATTGCTATTTAAAAATAGGCGAATTCAAACAGTCCAGCTGAAAAGCAATCTTATTAGCCATCCAAAATTCATATACATTATTTGAAAATCATTTGAATTAGTGAACAAGATTTCACATAAACTGATTCCTTTTTACGGATCAACCAGCCGATAAGCTTCAGATAATCTCTCATTTCTTTTTAACCTTGACAAAACCTATCTATCTCTCAATCGTCTATTAGTAGTCATATCTAAGCTGGGATTATCCACTTATAAAAAAAAACGTTATGAAGAACTGCGATCCCGATTTCCACGGAAATGGCTATTGGTTTTACTACAAAAAGGGACTTATTTTTTCTAACATTTACTCCAACCAATGCCATGAATGAGTTCTCAATATGATTTAATTCAGATACTGCTTATTTCCGGAATTCAAGTAAGAGTTTTATGAAACTGAAGTTTTCTTTGTGTCTACGAGTTCAAGAATGTTATTTTGGAAATATCAGAACCCGCATAAGTACCTTGACTTTCCTGAATTTAAGCTCTTGAATTTAAGCTTTTACGAAGTAGTTTTCAGTATTGTACTTCAATAATGAACTCATTTGATTACAGTGCCCATCCTGAAACATCTAATACGCCATAAAGAAACAGAGGTTCTATTAAGTTCGCTTTTTGTTAGAAAAAACCTTCCAAAAAAATCAAGAAATTTAAATAAATTACTATCTTTATTTCAATTTTTCTTTCCGTCATAGAAAACATAATTCAATCCCAATCAGTCGAAAGTACATTTGTTTGTATGGTGTTTTTAGGTAAAATGAAATTACAACACAATGTACAAATATTAAAAACCTTTATTACAAAAGTTTAGGTTTTCGTAGTGAACCAACAAGATACAGATATACTGGGATCAAGTGCAAGGACATAATGCCAAAATCCAGCTGGTATAAATAAACATTCACCAGCACATAGTGTGCAGTCAAAAACATGAGCTTCGCTAAAACGTGGAAATTTCGTTATATCGGGACATCGCGCATCCACCTGGAATTTATTAAACATTACAAAATATGAAAATTTTCCGGAATTTTTGCAGGCTTATTTCTACAAGAACTAACCTATTTAAACATTCCTAATATTACAACCAACTGCTACTCTGTAAATCAACACGCATTACAAAAGTGGTGAGTGATGTATAATCGTATAAAAGCTTAACGAATGTAAATAAAACAATACAATAATTCCATTTCTAACAAAAGCAATGATAAATGAGAAAACAAACCTGACTGGTGTTGATTAAAATTCCATCATTTCGGGGGTATACGTTTTCAGCTTCAGTTGCAGGTACTAGTCGTAAAAATTTTCGACCAACTACCTGAAATGCTTAAATTCTTAACTCCTCTTATCAAAGCTGCATATTCCTTCACTTTTCTTCCACTTTTCCATAAAACTTTACTAAAAAATACAGTGTTCAAGTTAAGACTGAAAATTATATTAATTCGCAGAAATAAACAAGTTAAATAAGAAATTACAAACTTATTACAAACCGCATTAAGAAATTACCTGACAGAATATGTTATTTTTTGGATCAAAATGTAAAGGTGATACGGTCCCCGCTGGTCCAATCCAAATATTCATATCAACATTGTCAATTCCTTCTTCCCCAAATGCACAGTAGTCAGGAATGATTATATCATTCAAAAGTTCCGGAATTTGATCAAATAACCGATGTTGAGCCAAATAACCTGGATTATCTGAATTCTGCAAATCCCATCAATTCATTTAAACTTATTTTTACAAATTCGGAGAATTACAATCTTTTTGGAACAAACGCTAAATGCATTGAATTTGAAGCTTTTGGCTTTGTCAATATGACTAAGACACCTTATAGCAATAATGTGTAAATTTCTTTTGTTATGTGGCATCCTACTCCTCGCTATGAAAAGCAAAGAACTTTCTCGTGCTTGGTATGACAAATAAACACAAAAAAGTTTTTTGAGCTTAATATCAAAAAATATTAAAAACTATATCAATTTTCATAGCAAGCTTCACTGATGTGCTAAAAACGAGAATAAAAAATTAAATTATAGGTAAATAAAAATATACCATACCTCGCACTCTATGAATTTCTCAATAAAATCATGAAAAGTCATCAAAGTTTGTTTCCAATTACTATCAGTATAACTGCTACCGATTTCAATGGGAACTGTACGATAACCAATACTTTCATTAAAGTAAGAGAAGCTAAAAAAGAACTGTGGTTAATGATTAACATAAGAGCAAAACTGATGCAAAAGATAATCATAAACCTTTTTCTTTGAGATTACATTCACATCCAAAACGATAAATATGCTGAATTTCGAAACACTTTTAAGAGAAGCATGCCAGCAAACTCATAAACCTTACTTCCATTTTGTAAATGCAGGCCATTGATTGACAAGTCCTCTTATGATCACTGGTTTTTGATTTTCTATAATCTTCAACATTTCTTCGAACGATGGGAGTTCGCAAACATCAACATCAAATGAATTCAGCAAGGGAGATGGCGGTTGAAAAAGCTTTTGTGTCTATAAAAAAGTAAAGATAATGCATGCATGACTACCTTCAATAAATACTGAACTTTGTGAACATTTCTGATCAATATTCGAAAATTTTCAAAAAACCTAACTTCCCAAAAAAGAAAGAGCTGCTAAATCAAATATGTATATTTATTAATTCATGAATAATATTACTTCTTATAATGATTAAGTGACAACTTACTTTTAGAGAAACGGGGATTGATAGCTCTGATAAAGAAGAGTGTAAATGATGAGCGAATGCTGATAACGCAAAACCATCAATGTCACGGCCCATTATTAAACCAATATCACAAGCATGCAAAGCTTCCTATATATGTATTGAGAAATACATTTATATTGTAAGAAATGAAATATTTAAATTAATACACTTCTATTGCCGAAAAAATTTGTAATCAAAACATTATCATCATTTTATCAAACAAAATTGGCACTCGGCACCATTGCAGTACTAAGCTGCGAAAACAAAAAATTCACCTGTATTTCCTTCTCAAATTTTAAACGTACTGCTCTACACATCATAATGCTTGCGTAGAAAATCCTCCAAGCTTCATCAACCTCTCCATAATGGCCAGTATTCAATTTTTCCCAGACTACTGACGTCAGAAAAATTTCCAGCTGTTTACTCCGCGTAAAATTGCATTCTAGCGTTGCTCGAGCGCATTCTTTGTGAGCTCGAAGTAAAGAACAACCAACAACGCTTTCGTCTGGTAAGTGTTGCAGATGCATCAATCTGGGTATATCTTGCTCCTAAATCTATCTGTATATATTTCACTAAGAAAATATAATATTTAATACTCTGAATTATGAAAAGAATGCTCCATCAAGTAATCGCTAAATGCATGAATGAAGCATTTGTAAAATTTAAAAACTCAATAAGATCCAAATACTTGTTTTGAGTGTAATATGCTGGCCAAACTTATTATTACCAAAAGTCTCATGAAAAATTAACTTTAAATCTGTTGAAAAAAAATTTGAATGCATAGAAATAAATGGATTTCCGACCACAAAAACAATCAATCAACCTTGAATGACATAAGAGTTTCTTTTATTCTCTTCATAGTGACCGGGTCAAAGCATTCACCTGGTGTATATTTATGTTCAGCATAGTCAAATTCCCATAAATGCAATGTGAGCAGCTTGTCTCTACGTGGAAAATAAAACATCGTCTGCAAAAAAATACAAACTAACACGGCCGTGTAGAAAATGGAGAAAAGTAAATTAAATCCTTACTTTCAATTGTATAGTCATGAGTCAAAGCTATCAGTTTTAATACAAATGATTCAATCCCATCAACATCGGTTCAATTCCAATCATTAACAGACTATGTCTTCTAGTAATGAAAGCGTGCTGAGAGGTTTATACTTATTTCAGTTTGCATTAATGTGAGCTACAAAGTAAGTCATATTCATCAAAAATAGCACAGAAGTAGTACCTTATGTAAGATACAAGCATGCATAAATTCGTCTGAGACTATCATAAACCCAAGTTGTTCGTAAAATTTTATAACACTGAGCTGTGAATATGTTATCAAAAGTTGAGTACCATACAAACATTCTGCTAACTTGATAGCACGCCGACAAATACGATGTCCAATAGTTCGTTCTCGCCAATCATAAAAAAAAAAGAAAATTTCCTTTCTTGTATTAAAACAAATAAAGAAATCAAGATATAGTAAAGGATATGACATAAGAATAAAAACAGACATATTATTTCTTCCTTAAATTAATTGCAAATTTTATCCAAATCAAATTAGAGAGTGCTAATGTCAGGACAAAGTAATTATTGCAGAAATCTATTTTATAGATAAACTTCATTTCGTAATTGAAAATAGCAATAAAGGTAAAGCAAACTTTGCGGACAGCAACTTGTTCCAACTTGACATATGGATGCACGGGACGTAAACGGCAAGTGGCGATCACGGAGCCGTCACCAATCCATCGAGCCACAATATGTCTACTATTCCTGTCCTCGCCATCAACTACCAATAATTCTTCTAAGCCATATTCCTGGCAGAACACTTCACGACGCAATAAATGACACTGTGCTAACAGGTCTTCATCCTTCGATACGTCAAAATCTTGAAGGGTCACTTCACATCCTATCATCCATGAAATCAAGTTTTTTCAAATTCCATGTACCCTGTGAATAGTTCACAACAAATTACAACCACGCTAATCCCCCATTCTTAGGCACAACTCAATCAGAACACGTACGCAACACGTCATGTTAGCCGACACATCACGTAATCACAAAGAAACGCAAGTGTCTTTACAGTATCCAAAAAGGCGTTCCATGGTGTGTTCTTTGAATTACAGCATGATATTGAGATAAAATTTGAATATAATTAAACGGTTGTATGACTGTGATATCATTATTTACTATAGTGTGGCAAGGAGTTGGTTGGTCGGTGAGATGACAGTGGAGGATAGCACATCGAAGGGTGACAGAAATGTGGAGATGTCATCGTGAGTGTCTTTTTCTGGAAATCGGGCATTTTCCACTTTCGGAAACTGTCCAATCACTCAGAAAAATTGAACATTTTTCATTCCTTTCAGCATAAGCTTATAATATTAGCAATTAAGTGATTGAATCCTATCAGTTTAGTTTGCTAACAACTCATTGTTGTATTTTTTTCTTTGTCCCATTGTTCTTCATAAATTAGCATTTTTTTTTATTATGGATTTTACTTTCTTTGAATACCTTCTTTAGTATTCCAAATTTCCAAACACAAGCATCTTACTGAAATAATTAATGTAATATAAGGCAATTAATTGTTTTAACGGAGTATCACTACTTGGATTAAAAAAAGCCGTTAGTTTCATTCGTTTTTTAGTTCAACGCTTTGCTGTACTTTTTGGCCTGAATGACTATATATAGGCTGAAAAGTATTGCCAACTTTAAGATAGTTGGCTTCATTCTTTCGTGCTTAATTTCATACTATTGTTTCCATTTTTCCTCAAAAAAAAAATGTTATTTCTGATGTTTGAAAGAGATGCTCCAATTGCTGAAACTTTTCAGGTCAGTATCGAGTGTTGAAACATGTGAAACTTTACCATCACAAACTTTTACATGTGCTTCACAAACGAGTAATGATAGCTCAATTATTGCTAGCCCAACAGCACTCACTCAGGAAGATTCCCAGAAAGAGTATGAGGAAATCGAGAAGCAAGAGGACGAAATCCGGATAACCGGTGGGACCGAAAAGAATTGGTCAAGTAGGACAAGAAGACGAGTGCACAACGAAGAAGTATTTTGCTTAAATATGGAATTATTGCAAAAAAGGAAAAATTATGAATTCATTTTCTTAACTAAATTAAACTGAGTTGAATTAAATTGAAATTTATTATTGAGTAGATAAACTATGGGGAACGGATTGCGGATGATTTAATCAACGAATATTGTGATAAGTTAAACACAGCACTGCGGAATCGGTTTGATGGCATGCTCGCTATTCAATACATTGCAGTAAGAACTGATCATTATTCTTTCGGCCATTCATTATATTATTGTAGAATCAAGTAAAATGTTCATTATTCAATATACAAATTTTATATTTTTCAAATTTCCAAATTTTCTGTGAAAGTCATCATTGTTGAAACCTGCTTTGTTACAAAACTCCGCCATAAGAATTTCGCAGAGTTTGATTTCGTGATATTTTTACTGGTGCATTCTCAATATAATTTCTAAGATTTTCACTCAAAATAGGAAGCAAAGTCTCTTTCAGCTCGATCCACAAAACTTAGATAGGCTCATAACTGGCAGTAAACCAGTCCTTCAAATTCTTTTGGATCAAAAACGTGAGCACTATGTATTAGTCGAACGAACACTTGTTGATGATACAGTGGTCGTGTTTGATTCTCTTGCTACTTCTAGGAAGAAAGCTAGAGATGCGGTAAGTTATCAATTTGAAGTTTCCAATCTTAAATTTAAATTTTTAAAAAAGTTTGTGATAAGTTTTGCAACATCTCAGTAAATTCAGCTTTGAAATTTCATCGAAATTTAGTTAAATCGTGGATTGGCGGAGCAGATCTTTAATATGTTCAAACACTTATCATCGACTGATGAGGTAAAGGTACGATATGAAATTGCAATCGAAAAACAAGATGATATGTGGTCATGTGGCTTACGCACGGTTGCATACATCACATGCCGAGCGTTCGATCGTGATCCTCGATGGTACATACTTTCAAATTAGAAAACTAATGAATACTGAACTAAAACTGACTTCAAAATATAAAGATTGTAAGAAATAGTGCAGTATAAAGAAAAGTTACAAACTTCACGCTAAATACCGACTGGGCTAAAGCAAGTTCCTTGAACTTTGTTAGTTGTTTGAAGAAGTTGATAAATGCCAAACGTCACAGTTAATCAAATTAGCACTTTTCCCATAAAGGGATTCCTCACATCTTACTATATGTTTGAAACCTAAGATTAGGACTCTCATGCAAATACATTGCTGCAGCTACATATTCAATATGGAAAAAGTCTTCAAATATTTCTGTAATTTATTGGATCAGCAAAATCCAAGTGTTGAACAATTTCGACACGCATTTGGACGATTTGGAAAGTAAGTTGGAAAAATAGTTTGAAGGAGTGGATTATGTTATGACAGCAAGTTTGCTGGAACTGAACTCAACTTATCGAAAAAAAGTTTATTTATAGTATTTATTATGTTGCCCAATAACCGGCCGCCCAATAATCGGCTAGTTTGAAATTATATGCACAACAATACGTTCACAGGAAGTAGAAAATATGCTTGGAGAACCTTCATAAATTTGTCTCCTTCACAGTTAAATTGTTCCGGAAGTCTAAACAATCAACTGGTACAAAGAATAATACAAACCGTTCACATATTCAACCGCAGCGATAGAGACGTTGTAGTCCTGGTGTGACACAGTCAAATGTGTAACCAATATAATACCAGTAGATAGTACAACTGATTAGTGACTCTGATTTTTCCTGATTCTAGGAAAAATCTGACATTTTCTGGATATTGATGAAAGAAGATAAAACAGCGTCCAATTTTTTCATTAACTTAATCAATCTCCTGAATGCACTTCAGATGGAAGCATCATCATTTGAAAGCAGAAGAAGCCATATTTAAAATAACGGAGCTAAGCGATCACCAACTTCATATTGAAAACAGTGACGTGCAAGAAACAAATATGTTAAGTGATCGCAGCTCAACATCCAATGAAAGTCGAAAGGAAAGAAATGATGAAAAGCATACGAATGAATGAATAGTGATTGAATTTTGCTGTCACATCTGATATAAGTATCTCTTGTAGTTTTTATCGCATTAAAGAATTAGTAACACTTCCGATTCCATGCATAAAATATAGCCAAACAATTCAAGTTGTAATAAAAATGTTTGATCAGTTTTTGCAACTTCTGGTCAAAATGATTGATTGATTAACTTTAATTATTAGTAATGGCTTAATGCGTATATTGACGAAAAAAAAAGATATCAACTGCAAGATGCAGTGTTTTCACTCTGTGCAAGATAGCCACAAAGTATTTGAAGTTAAACAGAAAAGGGTGTCGCGAAATTGCCACCATATGCCCGTCTATCAAAATATCAAGGCCCACCTAAGTTTTGCACGGACCAATGCTGCCTGCATCCTCAAAAGTCCTTCCAAATGGCCTACATCTCACGGTTGGCCGGTGTTTGCGCTGATTGCTTTTGGCGCTATGTGTTGCTAGCCTGGTGGTGCGAAGATTGTCTTGAGCTTGATAGCCTATATGAGAATTGTAGACTTAAGATTAAACTTAATTTGAACACATAAATATCAAAAGCTCTATATTGCGTGACTATTTCGTGCCTGATTGCTACTTGTTTAATTGCAGATTATATAAAATGTTGACGGGTTCACGGACACGTTTACAATTGTATCGCTTGTATAAGTTATTTCTTGTTCGATATGCAGCTCCTTCAAATGTGCGGTGCAGTTTTTCATTTCCGATAGACCAAATCAAAGTACCGTTGCAAAGATTGCGAATCAATAACGGACGTATGGTGAGCTTTTAATGTTGTCCATATTTTGTTTCATTCTTTCTTCGTATCGCCACATTTTTGTTCTTGTTCTATCCACTTACATGTTCTCTTGTTCTGCTAACTTTCCATGTCACGCGTTCTTTTGTTCCATTTAAGTCTTCATATCATATGTTAGTTAGTAAGAAAGTCTAATCCAGACTTGGAAAATATGGTTGAATCCCTGACAAGGAAGATCCATTTTTTCAGTGCCTGTGATACTGACATTTAAAATTATGAAAAATTATAAGTCTAATATCTTGATGATAATAAGAAATGAATAATAAAATCACTTGTCGCACAAGATGATATTTAGTAATTGCATTAATTTCCTCCCTTCTTTATAAATTTCTTCATGTTTAAAATTAAAACTTCCAGCCGAAGAATTCCGTGCTCTCTCGAGGGTTTTGTAACGATGAGTCGTTAGCGATCATTTTCAATATTGAAGATGAGGAAGATTTCGCAGAAAAGGTACTGCTTTCTACATTGATTTTTGGTTCTTTAACGTGTTTCGCTTTATAGTTCATGTTTTACTCATTTTACTGGTTGAAATCTGGTTCAGAGATTTGATAGAGAAATTGAATTCAGATAATTTCTGAGAATTCTTTAGGATATTCTATTCTGTAAGGATCCTGAGAAGGGTAGATAATTGATCGAAGTAATATTATTTTACTGAATTACCCTACAATAAAAAATGTAATCTAATTATTTGTAAAGATTATCAGAACGTGTTTCAAAATGTATTTGGAAGTGGAATGAGGAATCGTTTGTATTATCTTTTACAGGTCGTGAACTCATCTGTCCCAGTACTTGTAGATTTTTATGCAGATTGGTGTGGACCATGTAAAATGTTGGGACCTCGGATCGAAGCCAAAGTTGTTGGTCGAGAGGGGAATGTAAGTGATGTTGCATAAAATAGATTCTCACTGTTCCAATTTGTCATGGACATAATAGGCAAGTATCTGATTTCAAGACGGATATAGTTTGTTTATCATGATAATAGAAAAAGTGCTTATCAAAACAGTCAGCAACAGTGATTCGGTGTTACGCAAGATCCATTTAATCAGAGATGTAATTCCAGTATTTTTTTTCGAATTTTGATACATTCATTAATGTGCTTTATAAGAACTGAATTAATCATGTTTCAGGTCAGGCTGGCGAAAGTGAATGTCGATTATGCAGCAGATGTGGCAATGGATTATGATGTGAACGCTGTACCCACTGTTGTTGCAATGAAATCCGGTCAAGTTGTTGCACGTTTCGAAGGCGTAAAAACTGATGACGAATTGGACCGTTTTATTGACAGCATTATCGATTTAGAGTAAAGTTAATACTCGGAGTATTGTCAGAATAACGTACTACTCTTTTTTGGAGTTATGGGTAATCAGTGGACAAGTTTTGCATTAGCTCTGTAGACTACTTTATAAAAAATATGGTTTTAACTGCTAACCCTCTTTTAACATTTCATTCTGTCTATTTTGTGGGACGTAACCACCGCACAACAAAAGTAATGAAGAAAGTATCACTTTGAATGAAGCACCGAGTATGAAGAGAGAAAACAGCTGTAAATAGTAGTGTGTACTTACTCGATAAAATAGTCCTTATTAAATAAATTCAATGAAATCTAATCGAATAAATCTTGTCTCATAAATCCATTTGTGGTGGGAAAAAATGACCTTACTGTTGTCCTTTTCAAAATTTATTAAATAGGAGGTTTTTTTTTTTAAATCTCTTCATAAACAATTTCTAGAAAATGAAGAAGGAAGTTTGTACGAAACATAAACATTTCCCAGGACCATGCAAAAACGTCCTGGAGAAGTGACTGATAATTTATTATTTGAACCTATTTGCTATAAGAAGTCAGTTGAATTTATCCACAAAAACCAAAGTCGAACTCTCAATACCACTAAGTGAATATCTGTCACTCAAAGAAAAAAATGCATTTTAATATATCATATAATGAAATGAAATAAAGCAGTTTGAACTGAAACAAAAAAAAAACAAAGAAATCGAAACATGCAATGTTTTACAATTTCGACTTTTATTTTGCAACAAAGTATTAAAAAAGTACAAAAAGATCGATAGAATAACGGGCAGTTTTGTTGTGAACTTCACCTATTTTTTAAATAAAGATTTGTTACTTAACAGTAATATTGCTGACAAAAAAAAAATGGGAAAGAATGGAGTATGTGGAAAGAGAGCGAAGCATCAGGTAAGACTGACAATGATCGGAAGAACCGGACAGTTCCGGCAAAGCAAGCGATGATTCATAGGGTCGATTATGTAGTTTGGTACATTATGGCATTAATATCGAAAACTGACCAATTCAATCGGAAAAAAATCCTTTTGATGGATGAGAGATTGATGTCTGTTGACATAGGTGACAAGTATTAAACGAATATATCCATTTCAATTAAATATAAAATATAAAGGGATTAGCGGTACGAACTGATTTTTTCATGTAATTTATTGAAAAAGTTAATTGCGATGGGATATATTAGCAAAAAAAAAGACTTAATTGAGAAAGGAACATGCATTGTTTTTCTTGCTTGAAAATAACTCTCGAAGAAATGATTATTTAAATGAATAACTAAAATTTTCGTTTAAAAAAAAATATAAAAGAAAAGGCACGGTATACAAATACTACATACGATAATAGCGTAAAATGATAAACAATTTTTACTGTTTATAACAAATTGAGGAAGAGAAGGTAATGGGACTGTAAAAAAAAAAGAATGAACTAAAAAATGAGGAGAATTTCATTTTATACACATAGGGCAGTTGATAGAGCTGGATTCGAAAGAAAATCGTTGATTAAATTAATTCACAATAATATACTATTGATGAGGAAAAAAAAAGAAAAGTATTAATAGATTGCCCGGCAAATTCTGAAAATCAAGTCATTTTTAATTTGTAAAAATTTGCAAAAATTTGCAGTGAACAGGTTAAATCATCACATCTGGGAGTTAAAAATTTCAAAGTTCAAGAATTGATATCCTAATTTCTTTTACATTTTCTATTAACATGAAGAATTTTCATATACCAAGCAATCACAGAGAAGAATTAAAATTAAAACAATTATTTTGTTGTGATCAGTAAATAAAGAAATTTAAAACAGAATCGAATTTTACACGGAAAAGAATCGTATTTCTGCATGCATGGTATATAAATAACATTTTGAATAAAAAGAAATTTACAAAAAAAAATTATGGCAGTGTTTTGAAAAAAAAAAATCTTTGTCATATAGTTAATAATTTCCATCTCTAATGCCTTTCTTTCCACTGATTAAATTTAATTCTCTCTCAATTAAAAAATTGAAAACCTACGCATAATAAAAAATTAAAGGAAGAAAACAACAAGAATAACAATGAGAAATTGAGAGTATAAATCATTATTTATTCAAAGCTAGCATTTTAAGTCTTTTTTTTCTAATTTTTAAAAGTGAAAAAATTTTTTTTTTGTTGAGAAATTCAAATAGTGAGTGGAAAAAAGTGAAAAGACAGATGTGATCAGAATTGAGCTAATGACTCAGAAATGTTTAGGAAATGCACTGAGAATACCGGATAATCTCAGTAATTTTTTTTTTTCCAAATCCATCTCTCTTTTACTTTTTGTTCACAATTGTAATGTGATTTATATAAAAATTATGGTAAAATAAAAAAGATAAGACAAAATAGTTTTATTTTTGTAAAAAAGAAAATAATATGTTTCTCCACCGGAAAAGTGATTTAAATGTATTAAATTCATTGTTCCATTTTGCACTTCATCTTTTAATGCACCAATTTTATTTTTTACAAAATTTTGTAAAATTTGATAACTTTCCGGAAGGAGTGGAGTGAGAGAGTAACAAATGAGATCGATGTGATTAAAACGCCATCTTTTAACATTCAATTTCCTTAAACGAATGAGAAATTAATGTTTCGGAATTTTGACCTTCTTTTAAAATTCAATTTCATTTTTATTTGTGTCCCTCTTGTTCCAAATTGATTACATTGAAGCATTTCTTCGGTAATGAATCACGTATTTCTTCAAGATTTTGCACTTCATCTTCTAAATTATCGATTTCATTTTTAAACTGCGTTATTGTACGATCCTGTTCAATTTTTTGTTCTTTGAGCAATGATACCTGCAAAAATATCATTAGCTAATTTGAATGAAATTAAACCCTTAATTGAAAAGCAAAAAAAAATTAGAACAAAGAAGAATGAAGAAGTATCACTTTGATTGTAAACTGTTCAAATAATTTAAAATGAATAATTGGAAAAAAAGAAGTATTGCTTTCTAAAGCAAACTCAAAATCTGTTAAGCAAGATTATAAATTTTAGAATATCAATGGAAATTGACAGTGTTTTTTCTTTTTCATCTTAATTTTAATAAATAGAACTATAAAAAAGGCTTCATCCAACCTGCTGATCTAAATCAGCACTGTTTAATAATTGTTCTACTTGATCCAGTTGCTTTTCCAACTCATCCAATTCTTCACTACTCACGCCATCTAATGAATCTAAAAAAAAATGATTTTGAAATATTGTTTAAAGTTGATAACTTCTGCTTAGAATGTGAATGAATCAAGCTTCTATTTAACAACTTTTATATTGTTGATAGTGAACTGTCAAGGAATGGATGAAAAAAGATTTCAAGACTTATGAATCATCACTGAAATTGAATTTAGTGAATTGATTAATAATATTCCATAGACTAGCTATGAGTCATCATTGAAATCGAACTTACTGAATTGGTTATTAATACTTCTTAGATTTTCCTCCGCTTCACTAATCGTTTTGTTTGCACTTTCAGCAGCTTTTTCGGCAAGCTGTGCTTTTTGAACTGCCTTGAATAATTTTATCAATGAAATTTGAAAATAAAATTATGCACTTTTTAACAATGATAAATTATGACAGTGGAAAAAGCTATACCTCAGAAGCACGAGCTTTATCGCTACTAGCCTGTCGTCTGTAATCTTCCATTGTTGTACTCGCGTCTTTAACATCATTGACCAGTTGATCGGCACTTAACTTTAATTCTTCTGCAGTTTTACGAACACCCTGCGTTTGATTCCGTAATTCATATGCCTCCTAGAAAACGATATAATTTTGAACAATAAAATATTTCTGTCTGCAATGAAAGAAATATTTAAATATTTTAGCTAAGTCAAAAAAAAGTGTGCCGAATGTTAGACATTTTAGGTTGTATTTTTGGGCGACCAAACTATGATAAAGTTCAAAGTGCTTTCTAATTTCATCAGATAACGTACAGCGCTAATTAACTGTACAATTGCAATATCAAAGGAATGAATTTAAAGATATTTGCATATATAAACACCTTGCTGATACTTTTAGCCTCTTTTTCGGCTTGTAAAGCGATCTTTTCAGCCATTTGTGCATCATTCTTCGCATTACCGATAGCATTTTCAGCTTCTCGAGTTGTATCCTCAGCTAAAGCGATTTCTTTTTCAATTTCTTCCAGATTTTTTAATTCTTCAATTGCTTCTGATTTACTTGCATCAACTCGCTCTTGAAAATCTGAAATAAAACTTTCAATAATACAACTACCATTTCTTACTTTAAATCTTCATTCATTGAATAAATAAATCAATAAAGCATGTAGAGACAAGTTTGCAAAAGCTTAAATTAAACTGCTGAGTTTGAAAAAAAGAGTATAACTTAACGGAGAGAGATAAATTGATAATTTATAAAAATTTAAATCATAGCTACCATTCAATATTTCTAGCGTATGCTGGGCCTCTGCTAGTGTGCTTTCTGCAAGCGAAATAGCTTCCATAGCACGAGCCTTTGCAGCATCAACATCAGCCAGTAATTCATCCGAAATCTAAATAATTTAGGTCAATGTACTTCATGCAAATACGGAACGATAAGCTATGTTATTTCATGTAGATATTGAACGATAAATTTCATGCAGTACTTGTATTTGTACAGATCAAAAATAAACGTCAAAGTCGAATCAGTATCGGTATTTAAGTAAATTACTTTTTGTTGATCTTGAACCCTTTGTAACTCATATTTTGCTTCAGCAATTATTCGTACTGCTTCATCTATTAATTTTTTGTTAGCGGCCGCTTGTTCCTTAGCATTATCAGCTGTTGCTTGAGCATCATCTGCGACTCGTTTAGCTTCTTCTTCAATCTAATATTAACAAAGAAAAAAGAAATATCAAGTGTTATCATTTAAATTTGCTCAAAAAAAATTTTGAATTACAACTAAAGCATTTAAAAATTTTCGAATTATGACTACTAAAAATATAAGAATACAGTATTAATCTGTAAAATGAATTTATTTATTCCTAATTATCTAAAACATGAAATAACTAACTTGTTGTGGATCAATGTTCGGTAAACGCAAACTCTCGACAGCCGTCAAACTTTCTGCAGCTGTTTTGTATGCACGATCCGCTTCTATTAATTGTTCCTCAGCAAGTTTACGTGTTTGATTTAACAGTTTTTCAGTTGAATTCAAACGCTCCAGCATAACAGCAATTTCTTTACTTGTAGCATCACCTAAATAAATTTAAATGCTACTATTTAACTTCTCATTATTTGTGAAATCTAACGTTAATATTGAATAATACTAATGAGAGGAATGCAATGACAGAAAGTTTCTCAGAAATTTATCAAAAAATGAAAATATTTGCTAATTATTATTATTGAAAATGAATTATTTGCAAATTATTAAACTAATAATTGATAAAATCATTTATTTTTAATAGCTGGCTTGTAACAATACTTATAACGAAATAGTACGCCATACATTAAGTTACAATAAATGAAGTTTCTCAATCATTAATTTCTAATGTAAAACTCAATCATTAATTTCTAATGTAATTATTTCAAATAACACAGAAAAAAATTTCATTTGGAAATTTTTTAATGCTACTTAGCTTAAGTTGAAAAAAGAAAGATCTAATCATTACTGTTAATGTTTCTTCAAATAATTTCGGTACTTAAATTATCAATGAAATAGTTACTGATAGTGATATGAAATTAGAACATAATACATTATGCTTGTCACTAAAACAGTAACATTATCAGATCCGTGACTTTAATCGAAATTCATGTCATAAATGTGCAGGAAATTTACATTTATTTCATATTTACCTCCAAAGATCACTTCTTTCGCTTCAACAAGCGCCTGTTTAGAAGCATTTGCAATTTTCTCAGCCAATGCTTCAATTTCAATACTACGATTTTCTTGCTGTTCAGCTAATTTTCTTGCCTCTTGCGCTATTTCTGATAACTGAAACTTTTTTTTTCTTCGTAAGAGATGTTAAAATTAGCAGAAAACAATGCCCTCTAAAATGGTGGTAATATTTATGTATATTGACGTATACTTTCTTTAAAAAAAAAGAAATTCATCCGTAAAAATGTAAAATTTTGTAATTTCAAAAAGTAATTAATAGCTCTTGAAATTACCTGCTGACTTTGTTCACCATATTTTCGGGATGCTTCCTGTGCTAATTCCCATTGTGTTTGTCCCTCAGTTTCCAAATAATATAATGCATTTTCTAAATCACTTCGTGCTCGATCTATAAATTTTAATTTTACTATAAGCTATTATTTTAACAAAGCGAAAGACAGTCTTTTTGTTTTTCATCTTTGATTCAGAAAATTTTAACGCGCTTTTCAACCTACGCAATCTTGACGTTTTTTTTTTGAAGCATAAACATTCAACTTTTAGAAAAATATGTATATGTATATTAAAGTATAAATTGATATATTAATTACAGTATGTTTTTCGACTCAAATCTTTACTCATCAATGTGAGTACAAGAAAAAAATATAAATATGTTAAGGTATATTTAAAAATAAACGAAAATAAGCAACCCTTAAAAATACATTATTATTCGTCAAACCATTTTTGTCATCATTGATGAAATATAAATATTGAAATGATTTTTGAAACGGATAAATGTGCTAACTCATCTGGCTAATTGCTCAAGGCTGACCTTTAATTAGACTCCATTGCTTCAATGTTTCATTTATTGTAGTTGCCTTTCGATCTGCTTTACTGATGATGTCATCAACCGAACTTAACAATTTCAACGCATTCTTCAAATCGCTCCTAACCAAACTTACCTGTTCAATAATCTGTGAGTCATCACCAGCTGAAAATATTGTCAAATTATTTTTAAAAAAAATCGAACTTTTATAAAATTATGTCTTTTAGAAAATACTTCCTAGCAATAAGATGGAATAGGCATTTGCCTAACGGATAGTTATATCATACCATAATAAATGCTATTTCTCAATAAATTAATTTATGAAATTTCTGAATTCGTAACACAAGAATAAAATAAATTATTCCTTAATTTACCTAATTTTTTGTTTACGATATCAACTAAATCCTCTACTTCGGCACTGACAGCTTTGACATAATTATCGAATTCCACATCGTCAACCTGCAAAAAAGAAAAAAAAAACATTTTCTTAACAAGTATGTATTATCAGAAGATTTACATTAATAAACTGTTCAATAAATTTTTTGAAAAAATTTCAACAACTATTCCAAATTATTCTAACAGTTATCTAAATTCATACGTACATGATAGCTTTTATCAAATTTCTCAATTCCAACCTTACATTGAAATATTAAATAAACTATTCTAACAGTTCAAATCATATCATCCATTCTATGATAGCAATTAATGTCACTAATGAATTGTATTAACATGCAAAAAGATTATTTGATTAGTTTAAAATAAAGGAGATTAAAAAATGAAAAACTGTACCAAAAGAAAAAATGTTATCTAATAAATGAAAACTTCAATGAATGCTTTTACTAAAACAACCTTTAATTAAGATAATTATAATTTAATTTGATAATTAATAGATAATAAAAAAAAAGGGTAAGATTAAATATAACAACCGGTGCAGGATTTTCGACAATTTCTTTTAGAGTTTCGTCCAAAACACTAATTTCCTTCCTAAATGTGTGCACTCGACGTTGTGTTAACGCATAACAATCATCACACGGTAAACAACCGGCCTGAAGATTGTAACGATTTTCAATACAATGATCACAACGTCGTCCTTCAATATGATCGCGACATAAGCATTGACCTGAAATATAGCCAACTATACATTAATTTTCACTCGTTTTTTTCTTTAACTAACATGATTTAAATGAAAAATCTAGAATTGAGTATATTCAAGACTTTCTCTCTCTCTCTCTCACTTTCTTCCTTTGTCTATGGTCAATCATAAAAAGTAGAGTCAATAACTATAGAAAATAAAAATTGCTAGATTAGAATTTTGTTATCATACTTTTTGTGATCTATATAATACTAGTGAACAAAAAAAGTTTAATTCAAACAAAGCAAAAATCATTAATTTAAATAAGAAAAAAAGTGAAAAAATTATTTTATAAAATCGTGTCAAGCCTAATTTCAAATTTACAATAATTGGAGGATTCAAATAAAAAGGAATGAAAAAAGTATGATAAGATGATAATCTGTGCAACACTAATAACAGAATAAGTCAATTATCATTTAGTAGCAATGAATGAATCTTTCCTATCAATAAAGAAAATTTATGAATTTAAGGCATTCGAAAAATTGAAATTAACAGTGAGAATAATGAGATAATGCAGATTACAAAATAATTCTTTCAATACCTTCTAACTGATAACAATGAAATATTAAACGTTATCTACCAAAAACATACCAGTGATAACATCACACTGTGGTGATTCGGATCCAATAACTTCACAATCACACGGTTGACAACCATCTATCCCGAAACCGTAATGCTGTGGTTCACATTGATCACATCTGAAATTAAATTTTTTCTTTTGTCAACTTGCCTTAATAAAAAAAAAAAATTTAATAAAATAAACGAAAAATTATTGCTTCTTCGAAATTCGATAATTGAAAATTTGATGAAATTATAAGTCCTCAATTTTGCTTCGCAAAAAAATTCAATCATTTTTTGAAGAATTTGTAAAAAAAATTTTTTTCTGAAGCTTCACCACAATCGGTAAGTTTGAGGCGTACACGCATATATTATATGTTATAATGATGATAAGTCTAATTTAGCTTATATGATATACATATTAATTTAAATTTAGAATTTGAAAGAAACATTAAAAAGGAATGAAAAAGATAGAAATGTCATTAGCTATAATCTTAGTCTAACTATTTACTGTTTTCTTTTGTAGAAACAACGATAGCTATAGAAATACAAAAGAAAAAAATGGTGGAAATTTGAAAATTGCTCAATCTTTGAACTTTATTTTGCACTTTTCTTTTTTCTTTTTGTTTCAAAATACCAATAACGTTTGCAGTTCACGATAATATCTAATATTAACAAGGATGTTAGCGAAAAATGCTACACAAACTCTTCTCTTTCTCAGTGTAAAAGTAATAATTAAATATTGAAAAATTTTTTAAAAAAGTTTTACAAGATTGAACGAAGAAAAGTTGAAAGTGCCATAAATAATTTTCACTTTTATAAAATACTTTTTTGCACGTTTTAAATAAGTAAGGAATGAAAGTGCTCGTTCCAATGAATAAAATGAACAGTGCTAATTTGCAGAGAGTATGAAAATTAAATGAAAATGAACTATGAAATGTATTGTGTACTTTCAATCATTGCATTGAATGAAATTGTATAGCAATATCATGAAGTATTTTTTATTTGTTATCATTTAGATCATTTGAAATTTAATATTTAATTTTGACAACTGCTAATTTTATGCTAATATAAAAGATTTGTAAAATTTTCAAAAGTTTTTTTTCAAGAAAAAATCATTCAACAAAGAGGCAATCTCAAATTACGGGCAGATGTTAAAGATTTTGGTATGATTGAAGTTTGTTGCACTTTTCTCTTTCAAATTTTGTCAAAAATTTATCAATTAAGAAAGAAATGTTGGGGAATTCTTTGTAGGTGAAAATTACAAGTTTAATTAAAAAAGAATTTCCAATGAAAAAAAAATCTTCTATGAGTTAAATTCCCTATAGATCAAATCGAATATTTTTTTTTTAAATGTTGTAGTAGTACAGTGCTAACATTTCCTATTGAATTTTAAATAGTACTCTTCAATGTTGCTTTCCCACGATCATGTTTAAACCATTCATTTTTACAACAAATTAATAAAGCAAAAATTTTATAAATCACAAAAGTATCCATTATAATAGTAAACATATTAGAAAATTTAATCAGATTTTTCTAACAATTAGAAAGAAACACTTTCCTAACATTTCTAAAAATTAAAATATAAATTTGAAATGAAGAAAGTATATTCAATTACCTCCAATCTATAATAATGCAAAAATATGCATGTGTATGTATGTAAGAAAGAGTACAATGAAAATCAAAAAAGAAAAAATAAATTGATTTCAAGAAGAGAAAAAAATCTGAGCAACCAAAAAATGGCAATTAATCCAACGACTAATGAAAAATGAGTAATAGAAAGAATGAAATTTCAAAGTAAAAAAAAAAATGGAGGGAAAAAAAAGCGGAACCAACCTGCGTCCCATCACACCTGGTTTACACAAGCATTGCCCGGTTAGCACATCACAGGTGCTATTAACACTACCAAGGACGTCACAGTTACATTCTTGGCAGCCAATTCCGGATGTTAAATTGAAATATCCAGGCTTAAAAAAAATAAAACAAATCCACTATAAATTTATTAATTGATAAATAATTTGAATTTGAACGATAAATGTACGTAATTGTTTGCTATTTTTGTATGCTATCCTAGTTAAAATATAGTAAACTAATCTTTTAAATGATCAGTGAGAAGAAAATATAATTAAATTGTTTATGGAAGAAATGACAATGCAAGAAGATATAATATGGGCAATTCATTGTTTGTTTAAAAGATATTTAACAGTGAAATAATAGTTTTTCTTCAATTTATATTATTACATTCAATCTGTGTATTGATGGAAAGAAAGAAGAGGAAAATAAACGAGATCTCAAAATGTAATTTCCTGAAATTTAAATAAAATGAGAAATTTCTGTCATCCAGCAACATTCACGGTATGCCATAATATTCTGGCATAACTGAAATCGTTTTACACCCATTTTGCACAACGTCTGTCGGATACCCGGAAAAT